TACAGCTTTCCACAGTTAAAGCACAGGGTAATATGATAGCTCAGTGAGTTAGGTATCTGGCTGTGGAGCCAGACGTTGGGAGTTCAATTCCTTACTGTATCTCCTTGACATGGTCTGCACTCAATGATCCACAGGGTTCCTTCCAGTTCTGCAGTTCTAAGATTATGATGATGATGATATAATTCTTCCCTCTTGGATGCACTCTTTAATGTGGTGAAAGGGTTTGACCACATCCGTGAAGCTGAGAGCAATGTCGTCAGGAGGCCAGACTCCATTAAAAGCCAGGACTCCTATTGGGGTCACCCAAGGCTGAATAGTCACAGCTTCTTAGACACCAGACTAAGATGCATCTACCCTCTTCAAGGGTAATGGACACATCAAAAGAAGATAATGGATACTTGCAATAGTGATGGGGGCAGTAGCTAACAGGCAGCAGCAGTAGCTCAAGTGACACTGGCGGAGGAGGCAACAGTGAAAGTACTCAAAACTTTTGTTAGTACTACAGTGGACCCTTGATTTACAGACGGCTTGACTTACAGACTTTTTGAGTTACAGACTTCTCTCGCCGCAAAATTTAGGTTTGACTTGCAGCCTGAGAATTGACTTACAGACCAGAAAAAAAACAAAATGGAACAAAAACGGCCTGTTACGGGATTAATCGGTTTTCAATGCACTGTAGGTCAATGGAGACTTGACCTACAGACTTTTTGACTTGAGAACCGCCTTCCAATACGGATTAAGTTCTCAAGTCAAAACCCCACTGTATTCAGAAGGTGGCAATAGTAAATCATTATTGAACTTTCCTCACCATGAAAACTCTGTGATGAGATAGTCCAAAATGAATCAAGAGATAGTTCTGGAAGGTGAGACTCCCAGGTCAGTTGAGCATCCTGTTTTTCGCAGTGGCCAGTTGGATACCTAGGACAAATCTACAGGCAGGGCTTGAAGGCCTTAGCATCCTCCCACTGTTGTTCTCGGCATTAAATGTGATGACATAAATCGCAGTGGCAAATTGCTGCTAGATGAGGCATTGCTGCTTTTGTTCCTCATCAAGTGCCAGCAATGTCTGATGAGGAATAGAAATGGAGACTCCTTAAGTAGCAGCAATTTAACACTGTGATTTACACAATTGCACTTACGTTGGCATGCATAAGCAATATTTTTCTGGCCATCTAATTCTTCTTTAAAGGTGTCTAAGGATAGAAATAATGGGTTTAAAGGATTTGTCATTAAAAATCCTTAGTGGCTCTGTGTGTTGTAGCAGAAAATTAGTTTGCTTTGTTTTGGGATTGGCAGTCCCAGCCTTGCCACTAGCCTGGATGAGGTGGTTGCCTCAGGTTGCAGAATGGTGGGACTGATGAATTTGTTGAGGCCTGCCACTTCCCAGTAGAGCTTCTGCTGGTCTTTTTTGGGGAGGAGGGCTGCTGCAGCTGCAGCCACACTCCTCTTTTTCTGTCTGAATTGGGGGAAAATTCAAGAAAACTTCAGCCACCCCTTTTCTTGGCAGATGAGTGAGGGAAGGGTGACATTTTTCCTCCTCCTCCTCCTCCTCCTCCTCTAGTGTGGTGGGAGACAATGTCACCAGACTCTGACTCAAATGCTGGGAAAGCCTGGGCCAGCCTTGGTGATTTCATTTTTAGGACTTAAGCACAGGATTCTTTTGAAGTTTGATTCTCAAACATGTAAGTCTGCCTTAATCACATCTCTCCAGCAGTAACTTGCTTCTAGCTCTAATAAGGGGTTATCTATTATATCTGTTTCTGCCCTGAGTTAATGTTTATTTTTTACATCTCATGGTAATAAATCTCATACTAACTATAGCCCTGTTCAAGCCTTATGTCTGGAAGTGGCTAAACAGGCGGTGGGAATATTGGGATGCATGCTAGTCTTCAGTGTCTCCACTCAAAAGCGATTCAGACATTCACATGATTAATGCAAAGGTCTGGCACAGAGCATATAAGCACACTCAACTGAATGCACTCTGAGAGCTCATATGATAAGAAATAGGATGGGGATGTTGGGATGGTGCTTACATGTGCGGTCCCACTCTGCCATGCATTCAGCCCTCCCACAGTTTCAAGCATAATGCCTGAATATGGCTAATGTGTTATGTGAAGAAGTGACTTCCTTCAGTACGTCCTGAATCCAGTGATGGCTGGTGCCCAGCGCAGTTGGTGGGTCAGAAAGGCGGGCAGAGCTTGCGTGACAGACAAAGCCAAGGGCAACTGTGAATATTTCTACACATACACACATGCACATGTGCAAAGTAGAGGGCAGACATGTATTTACACATACGCACAGTAGGAAGGGAATACAAATGGGAGCTGTGACCTCTGCCTCTGATAAAGAGAAAGACAGGATAGGGCTGTCTGGGGGTAGCCTGAGGTAAGATGACATCCCACCTAATAGAGGAGGCACCGCTGCCTGAACCTTTCCACCTTTGAGCTTCACGGAACGACCTAGAAATATAGAACAGAGAAAACACTCCCTGTCTATATTCTATCCACTGGTCAACAATTGAACCTTTTAAGCATCAGTTGAGCAAACGAACATTGGACATGTGAAGTTTTTACAGCACTTGCTTCATTGCCAGGAAATGTTTTTTACCATCTTGCATTACAGCCAAATCACCATGAATGCACTGTGGTTGGGCTCCTCCAATATAGGTCACCCTCAAGTTTTCCCTTCTGATTCTTCCTGTAGGAGACTGTGTTTGGAGCCCTGGCTAGTAGTCGTATAAAACCTTGTTAATAAATATACAGTATTGCATTGCAACACCACCATAAAGCCTAAATGTAATATCAAGGTCCTGGCATCCTGTAACAAAGAGTGAGATTCAAATAAGATAGAATAGAGTAGGCTAGGACAGGAGACGACAGGACATTCCAGCCACTCCACAGGTGATAATAGGAAACATTCTTTTCTTCCGTGAACACACCAGTAGTTTCACTATACTTACTGGCTGAAACCTGAGTTTTCTTCAGTGTTACGTATTTCTGAAGGCTCTTTTCCTACTGAAGCTCTATGTGCCATTCCATGTTACAGTGGTGCCAGGGCTCACAGGATGCAAAGTGGCAATGACAAAAAGCTTGAGAAGTCATGAATTTTGTCACTCAAGAATGGCACCGCACCATGGGAAACAGGGAAAAATACAAAAAACAAGCAGTGATGAACCAGACGCTTTTACAAAAGCAAATGTTCCATTTGGATCTGCCCTTCATTAACCATCTTCCTTTTTTTTTTTTTTTTTTTTGGTCTTGTCATACCACTAATTACCCTCTGCTGAAGTGGCTTATTTATTCCCAAGAAACTCAAAAAAGTTTCAGCCTTAATAGATATTACTCATTTCTTCCACCGGTGGGCCAGATAGGCGGGGTATAAATCAAATAAATAAATAAATAAATTGTGACAAGGAATGCACAGGACCATATGCTTGGTAATTTTTGCTTACACAGTTTTGAGAAGGGAGTGACCATTAAAAGAATCCTAGTTATCTGTAACGTGATTAAATCAAGGGTATATTCCATAAGCCAATTGAAAATCTTAAGAACACGTAGGAAGGGCAAAGTAATACTGAAATACACTGAATGGGTCAGAGGTTCCCTTCCTACCACTGGGGCTGAGGCTTATCTGCCATGGGTGGGCTATTTAAGTGTGTTTAAAAAGGACCTCAGTGGGCACAGTAGGTGTCTGCAAAGCGACTCCATGCAGTCAGGGATCTTTTTGCAGACACTTACTGAGTGCAGAGGCTGCCCTTTTCAGGTGCCATTCTGAATGCACAGATTTGGGAGAGAAGAGCCAGCAATGTGGGGGTGGGTTAGTGGATGATCTGGGTCACCTGACATGCCCCATTTCCTCTCCACAAATTCCATATACATGTGAAGGCAACCTTCTGGAAGAGATTGTTTTTAACTGGCTAGGAAATTATTGAAACTAAAACAGGAAAACAAAAGTTACAACATTCAGGCTGTCTTGAGGACTGGCAGGCCTCCCTGTATCCTTAACTGATTTCTGTACACTGAAGTGGTCATCAGTCAGGTCAATCATCTGCTTGCCAATGTTAAGGTAAGAATCCGCTGTTAGTCTGGTTGGCTTCTGTATCTAGAATTAGAGGAAGGAGTGGGATGTGGCACCATCTTGACCCTTCATCTCAGATACCAAAGTGCCATGGGCTGGCCCTGGCTATTGATTGATTGATTGATTGATTGATTAATTGATTGATTGATTGATTGGATTTCTCTCCTGCCCATCTAGACCAAAGGTCTACTCTGGGCGGTTTACAAATTTAAAAACAATAAAACTAAAAACATATATTATAGGTCCAAGATGGCAAAGTATAAGAAATTAAGATATGGCAGGAGGGAAAGCCTGCCCAAATAGCCAGGTTTTAAGTTTATTTCTGAAAACACCCAGAGAGGGACCCAGGAGAGGCTCTCCACTGGCAAGTTGTTCCAAAGGCGAGGGGCACTGCCAAGAAGGCCCTGCTCCTCGTTCTTTCCTTCTGGACCTCCCTCAGCGTTGGGCCCCTCAGCCGCCTGGCCTGGCCTGGAATGAGTGACTGGCAGAAGTGGGTGGGAGAAGCAAAAAGCAAAGCAAAGCGTGCTGCTTATATACCTCCCCATAGTGCTTCAAGCACTCTCTGGGCGGTTTACAAGTTCATTATGCAGGCTACACATCCCCCCCCCCAGCGAGCTGGTTACTCATTTTACCGACCTCGGAAGGATGGAAGGCTGAGTCAACCTTGAGCCGGCTACCTGGGATTGAACTCCAGGCCGTGAGCACAGTTTTAGTTGCAGTACAGCAGTTTAACCACTGTGCCATGAGGCGCTCTGCCAGATACCAAGGTCCTAAACCATTTAGGGCTCTATATGTAGTGGTTCACTAACAGCCACTTTATTGCTTTCCAGCTACTGAGCTCTGTAGGATATCTATTACTTCTTTGTCTTTCTGCTCAGATGTACACTGTGACATACAGTAAATGATGCTCTGTTTTAATCCAGGGAATTTTGCTGGCTATAACTGTGGGGACTGCAAATTTGGCTGGATGGGGCCCACATGTGATGAGAAGAAGCCCCCAGTCATCCGGAAGAACATCCACGCTCTGACCGAGGAAGAAAGAGAACAATTTTTGGATGCTCTGAACCGTGCGAAGACAACAGTTCACCCAGACTATGTGATCGCAAAAGAGCATTGGCTGAGTTTGCTTGGTCCCAGTGGGAATGATCCGCAAGTGACAAATTGCAGCATTTATAACTTTTACGTGTGGTTGCATTATTACTCTGTGAGAGACACTCTGTTAGGTTTGTGCTTTTCATTTTGGAGGGATGGGATATAGGAGGGTGAAATATTATCCCATTTTCCCAAGGGATCCCAAGGGGGGTGCAGGACAGAAATCGCTGCTGACTGAAGAATAGAACTGCCAGCTGAGTGGAAACAATGATCCAGCCTGCTCCTATGCTTTTAAGAGTACCTTGATCTGTGAGATGAGCAAGTGATGGTTTTCATAGCATAAAAATAATTATAACCTGGGGATGTCTTCAGATCAAGTGGCTGTGAAAGGCACAGGAGGAGAGGCAAACTGGAAAAAACTTGGCAACTGTATATGACAACTGTTCCCATGTTGTTCACTATAGATCATTCTGCCTGACTTGTGACCCACATTGCAGTATGTTGGCCATGAATGTTAGCTCACCAAATGTTCAACAAACTTCTTTTGTGTCTGACTATGGCTGGATGAATAAGGACCCAATACATAGCTGGTGAGCTTTGTTTCACTTGGTGGGTTACAAGTATTTATTTATTTATTTATTTATTTATTTATTTATTTATTTATACTCCGCCTATCTGGTCATTGCCAGAAGGTGAAAATATTTCTCAGTAAGCTATGTATACCTTCAGCTCATCTGTTAAGGTAAGTGAGGTGCTTCCTCTTTTGCTGAATTATCCAGATGAAAATGTATTTCCAAATGTGCTCCACTGTAAGGGTAAGGCAACAGTCGCAAATGTTTGGCCCTCCAGACCTTAGTAAATTGAACTCACAACATTACTCATCATAGACTAAGACTGAAGTCCCATTACAGTGGCAGGACTACATTGTTCCCAACCTTGATAGAAGTCATTAAGGCGCCATCTCTCATCTGCTAGGTTTAGGCTGCACGAATGCTACACAGACTTGATTGATTGATTGATTGATTGATTGACTGAATTTTTACCCCGCCCATCTAGTCAACTGACTACTCTGGGCGGCTAACAATGTAGAATATAAACAATTTAAAATATGTTGACTAATTGACCTTTTTTTGCCTTCCCTACTGCAGAATGGCTGGCAGCTTCAATGTGAAGAAAGCCCAGTCCAAAGTTTGGCTCTAGATTTAGACCCAAGCCCTGTTACATGGTGCTTGCAGTTCATCCCCAGCTTTCTCTCTCTCACACACACATAGAGTCATCATCACAGGGGAGATGCATGGAAACATGTCTCTGAGACTGCATGTATAATTTAGAGAAAGTTATGAAAGAACCTATTGGCTTTTCTCACCGTTGGGTGGCCAACAAACATGTAACAAACACATTGGTTTACGCAGTGCTACTACCGTATTTGGAGAAATTATGTAGATTTTCCTGCCCATGTTCCCTTTTCTAACATTTTAACTTGGATCTATAGACACCCTTCCATGAAGTTGTCTTACCTATGAAATCTTTTACCATTACCACCAAAACCTAACCCTGTGCACTGTTCAGAAAGAAACCCAGTAGCTTTGTTCCTGTGGTGCTGGCATGGGATTGACACCACCACTAGAGATGAGATGAACAGAAACTAAGATACCTGTTATGAAAAATGTTTATGGAAGGCATTAAACTGTCACTCTTTAAATGAGAGGCTGGGCTTGCTTAGAGTAGTTAAATAGGCCTGCAGTTCAATTCCCCATTTACCAGGAGAACAGCCAACCTGATTAGCCTTGGGCAAAGTTCCAGAATATCCACAGAAGGAGGGAATGGAAAACCACTTCTGAGTGCTTTATGCCTAGAAAACCCTGGTCCAGGTTGTATGTATTCCCCATTTGAAAGATACTGCTATTTTTTCAAACTTGTACAACAGGCTCCAAAAATGATGGGCCTGTTCACTATTGGCGAAGATCAAGTGCACCCTGCCTCTCAGTTGCCCGGGCTTGCTGGGATAGATGCAGTAACATTTTGTGTTCATTTGAGCATCCCAATCCTTGCCCAGAATTTCTGTTATTGTCCGCAATACTTCTGAGTTGGAGGCCCAGGTGCCATTTGGTTTTCTTAGTGGCCAGTTGTAGATGGTGATGTGGTTCACAGGCTTGAGTGATGGGCTTTCAGCAGGGGTGGACCCTTCACTGTCTGAGGTTGCTGACCATTGGGGTTTTTTAATCTGTATATTTTCCTTGCATGTTGTCACAGCAAGTGGATGCTGGGGATAGGGTTCTTCTGGGGTGTTTCCCCACCATTCGTCTATGGTTATTAGCTCTAGATTAGAGGATGTTAGGTCAGGTCCCTCTGTGTCCTCTGTGTCCTCATTTCGCTCATATGGATCAGCCCAGGCCTTTGGGGTCTTCCCAGAGATGGGCATTCGGTCCTGAGTTGCTTTTTCTGATAACTGTGGGTAACTCTGACCTTTAAAGGCTAGGGAGTTATCTTTGTGTGTTTGATCTTTTGTACCCAGCTCCTTTTTTGCCTGAAGTCCTCTCTGTTCAGTATTCTGAGGGTTTGAGGGGGGTGCTGCTTTTAAAATCCCCAACTTTATCATGTCAGCAATGCATTGTAGTATTGCTTTAGTATCAGCGATTTCTTTCTTTAGATCATGCAGATTATTGAAAATTGTCTGGTTGGATTTAGCTGAGAGGAGACACTGATCACGTAGTTGGGTGTAAATAATCCTAGTTTGTTCACTCTCGGGCCCTTGAGCATCTTGGGGGCCTACTGTTCCTTCCATATGGTTCTCCTTAGGCCCAGGTGTTGATAGATTTAAGTATTTATAGAATGATTCCATAGAGGCAGAGAGAGCCTTCTCTAGGAGTTCTGGGTCCAGAGACCAATTGCCAATTTCTCCTCCGGAGTGCGGAGTTCCGACTGCAGCCCCCTGGTATGTCTCTCCATTACTTATGCCTACATTGTCCGTAGTAAGTGGGGTACTTGATGTAAATTCCCTCAGCGGCCTTTGATTATAGGAGGGTACATGTTCACGTTGATCTGAGACCACACAGAAGTCTGCTATAGATTTCTGATTTCGCTTTTTGGGAGCCTTTTTTAACTTGCCATAGGTTTTTTTGGTCCTAGTGGTGACCATAGTTATACTCCACAAATTAAGCTTATTTAGTGTCCCCTTCTACTTCTGCAGGTGCAAACTACCACTCAAAGGGAGAAGAATGTGGGTTTCACAGTTACGGTCAGTGGTAGCTGTATAAAAACACTTCTTAGCTCCGGTAAACACTCAAACATAAACCATTAAAGGGCAGGTTGTTCCACCCGTTCCTTGGAGGACTTTTACTCACTGTGAGTCAATTGTAGATTGACGGAGTCAGCGGATCAGCCCCTGCTGTATGCCAAACAACCCCCGAAGGCAGATGGCTTTTCTTAAACAAAGTAAATGTTTTTCTTGCAGACTTGATTCACGCAGGTGCTTACTGTCCGCAATAGCGGTGTCATTTTCTTCTGTTTTCTTCCCAAGGCTGCAGTTGTGTAATTTTGTCGTACAGAGGTATTTCTAATATCTCTCGGCAGCTCCAGTGGTCATTATCTCTGTGTTTACTTTTACCAAGGTTAAAATCATGCCTTCAGCCAAGAAGTAGAATAGGAACTTCAACTAAACAAAAGCTATAAAAACCATATAAAATTACATAAAATAAAGATAAAATCACCGCTGTGTAGCCATGAGCGTCTTGCCTGGCTGAGCCGGAACCGGAACTGGTCCAGGTTGTCATAAATTGGAACCAACTTGATGTCACATAGTTGTTGCTTCTAATAAGTAAGAAAGCTTCCTGAGCTAAATAAGCTCTCAAAAGCTTTTCCCTTATATAAGTTTTTTCTAAAATCCATCCCCCACACCCTGCAAGCCAGCTCTTGATAAGGAATATATGCTGTCATTTTCCTTTTCTTCCAGCTTTTTGTCTTCTAGAATGATTCTAGTCCTGTTTAGTGAGTCATTATCAAAGCATGTGAGGGGTGCATGTGATGAGGGAGAGAGCCTTTTCGAATCTTTGTAGGCTCCCTCATGTGAGCCAGAATACACTGTACGTGAGTGTTCTGGCTCACAGGGAGAATCTCCACAGAAAGAACAGAGTCACCCTCTTGAGACATAATGACAGAGGGGCTGGGGCCAGTTTCTTCCCCCTCACTGCATGCACCTCACACAGGCTTTAACAACGACTGAATGAGGCCTCTGTTCCAGGAATTACTTGCTGTCTGGACCCTCCTCTTAGATTCCAGTGCCTGCTTGAATTATCTCTTCTGTCTCTGAGCATGGTAGCCCATTTCCCTTAGCTACCAGCTCCTGCACTGACTTTCCAGACCAGTTCTCTCACAATGAGCCTTTGCCTTCCCCACCCAGTCTGAGCACACTCTTGTCAGTCAATGGTCATTATCACCTTGTCTCTAAGAAATTTCTGAGATTTTTGAATGTCCAGGCTAGTTTTTTGCAAGTATATTTCTTAGATAACTTCTGTTTTTCACACTTGTTGACTCCCTTGACAAATGAAATGAAGACACCTTTTTGCACAAGCTTTTTGCACAATTCATTCACTATGAGGTCTTCTTTTTTTAGCAGCCACACCTGCCTTATGCCTACTAATTATATACCAACAAAGTTAGGAATCTGGTCTTCTCAAGTCCTGTTTAGATATTCTCAAAGCTTACAGAGAGCACAAACAATGAAGAGATGATGATAGTCAAGCAAAAGCGACAGTTGAAAAAGATGGAATTTGCTGTATCTTTTTAGTCTCTCTATGAGAGCCAGAATTCTGATGTCCCCCACCATGTTCTGGCTCAAGTGGGGAGCCTACAGAGGTGCCACAGACTCTTCCTCTTAAGACTGTCATTTCTGCATGTTAAAAGCAACAAACAAGGGAGCAGGACTAATGTGTTCCCTCATGGCATGTGTGTTCTGCACTTTTTCAGAAAACCTGAATGGGCTTCAATTAAAATACCATCTGAAGGGTGCACCACTATTAGATCAGCTGAAGCTGCACTAAATCTGAACCCCTCTCAGGCTATAGATGCTAGAAATTATCTAAACTTGTTCTCACCATGGCCTAACTATGTCCCACCATTGTAGCTGAGTCTCTGGGCTAGTGAAAGTATGGATGTGTCATAATCTGGTTCCTCCATCACCTTGTCTTTTCTTCATCCTTTTCATTTTATTTTTTTTATTTTTTATTTTTGGCCTAGCAATTCTCAGTCAGTGGAGCATAACTTTTTTCTGATCTCTAAGATTAGCCACCAGAAAGGCATTTTCCCTGACAGGAGGAGATTTCTGTCATCATAAAGGTCTTGTCTTTCTAGAGTCAGTACATCCCGTTCCATCCCATTCTAAATTTAAATTTATATTATGGTATCATATGGTAGCACCTTGTTGAATGTACCCCTTTCTCTGCCTCAGCAATGATCCCACCTGTTTGGAAACAAACATGTAGTTCAATGGCATGCCAACATACAAAATAAACCAGGGGTCTCAAACTCAATTTCCCTGGGGGCCGCTGGAGGCAGAGTCAGGGTGAGGCTGGGCCGCATCAGATTTTCCGCCAAGTGGAGCAAGAGCCCAAGGAAGCCGTCCAGGAATTTCCTTAGCCCGGCTGGGGCTCAGAGGAGGAGGAGGGGCGCGTGAGCCCTCGTCACCGGCCATGACCCCTTCCGGCTCCTTCTTCACTACCACCAGCAGCAGCAGCAGCAGGCAGGATGAAGAAGCAGAAAAGGGAGGGAGCGCCAGCAACTGCCTAGCCGGGGGGGGGGAGGAGGGCACTACATAAAATTAAAAAAAAAACATTCACAGAATCGCCTTGCCAAAGAAGAAAAGCCCCCATCGGTACCCACGGAATTAAACAGAATGGGGTGGGCCCCCCAAAGGTGCTTGCGTGCACACACACACACAAAAACACACACGGAGGTCCGGCAACCTTCATCTGAGGCCCCCCTCAAAAAAAGGCACACTCAGCAGCAGAGCTACCCCCACCATGACAGAGGAGTAAACTTTGCGAGGTGAGCCCAGGCAGCCTCCAGAGCCGAGGTGGCTGAAGCAGGATGAAGAGGAGAAGGAAGCACTGCTGAGTGCTGGGGCGGCTGCTGGTTGGGCTGGTGCTGGGGGTGCTGAGAGAGAAAGAGAGCCACAGAGCCACTTCCTTGGAAGAAGCAGCAGCGGCAGCTGCTGTTGGCGGCGCTGTTGGAGGTGCTCTTTAAGGACGGGCCGGGAGCGAGCTCTGCTCTCAGAAATCGCTCGGTGGTGGCTCAGGTGCTCAGGGCCGGCAGTGCACCTTGCTCACTGGCTCTCCCCCAAGACAGCACCTCTTGCACCCTCCATCCGGAACTGCAGCCTGCCTGCCAGCAGACAGGCAGGCTGGCTGACAGGCTGCAGTTGTGGGTGGAGGGTGCAAGAGGCGCTGTCTTGGGAGAGAGCCAGGGAGCGAGGCAGGGCTTTTTTTTTACTCTTTACAGCAGAGGACGCGTGGGTGCTTTGGGGGGGCAGGCAAGGCAGGGGCCGCAAACTATCATCCGGCGGGACGCAAATGGCCCCCGGGCCGCATATTTGAGACCCCTGAAATAAACCAATGAAATAAAATGCACACCCACAAAAAGGCATTTGCATTTGGGGAGGGAAAGAACAAGAAAGGTGGATTCTGAATAATAGCTTTTCTTTTCCCCACCCCCACATCTTGATTAACTGCTACAGAGTTTTTTTTCTCATTTAAACTGCTTTGGCCTTCTGTCCACAGGGCCAGGTCGTCCTTTCACAGCAATAGACTTCTCCCATCAAGGACCTGCCTTTGTTACTTGGCATAGGTATCATTTGCTGCTGCTGGAAAGAGACCTGCAGGTCAGAGAAAACGCTGAATGGGAACACATAATTGAAGGAAGCAGAGGGCCAGCTACTTGCTTCCACAACACGGTGGGAAGGGAGGGGTTCTCAGCATGGGAAGCCAAAATGGACAGATCAACAGATGGCATCCTTCACACTTGTCCTGCTGCCAAGGGCAAACAAGTCAAAATGAGAAGAAAGGCAAGCTGGCGGGACACTAAGAACATAATCTTCTTGCAATTAGTCTCGCAGGATGTCCTTGTGCTCCAGTGTGTTTCAATGAGAGAGAATATGATTTTGCTTTAATTATCCACTCTAAGCTATTCATAATGTTACAAACTTCTGCCAGTCGCTCTATCATTAGCTTATTTTCTCTGAGAGCTACAAGGTCTTTTAAGCCTTTCTTCACAAGGAACAGGTTTCTCCCTCAGATCATTTTTGTTGTCTTTTTCTGTACCTCCTTTAGTTGTGTAATCTTCCTTTAATGTTAAGCAAACCCAAGTAGCTCCAGGTTTTTATAGTTACTTGGAAGTAGAGATGGGTACAAACTGCTGCTTTGGCTATTCAGTATGGTTAGTTTCCCTGGCTTATCCTGCCCCCTCCAGTGGATGCCCAATCAGTGATGGTGCCACACTCTGTCACCTTCTGGTGTTGCCTGAGTGGGCACCTACTAGAGGGGTGGGGTGCCAAACTAACTGCATAGTTCATGCCCATCCCCAACTGGGAGCAATGTAGAATGAGTAGATCTGTCTAGCTTTGTTCTGTGTAGCATACTCATGGCTGTACCTATAATTCCATCCTGTTTTTTTATCAATAGTGGTTATCTTTCAGTAGGCTGTAGGTATGTGTATGATAGAAAATGAAGTGGTATTTCATTTGGTAAATGAAGTACAATTTTGGCACATGCTGCAAAGGTATTGCTGAGTAGTGAAAAAAAATGTAAGCAACTTTAACTGTGTTATACATTACTGCATATCTGAATCTAATACGTATAGTTGAAGTTTTATCTTGTCTCCATCTTTCTCCTATGTCATGTTGTTTTAGCGGATGATTGGGAATGAGTCCTTTGCATTGCCTTACTGGAATTTTGCTACAGGCCGAAATGAATGTGATGTGTGTACAGATCAACTTCTTGGAGCATCAAGTCCAGATGATCCGCAATTAATAAGTCAGAATTCAAGATTTTCACAATGGGAGATAATATGCAACAGGTGAGAGATGCAAGTGTCCAGATTTCTTTTGTAGTTCCAAAACATAAATCTGGACATATCTAGTAGGAGAATTTTGAAGTCAATAAGGTAAGCAACTGTTTTTCTTAATCTCTGGTAAAAAAAATGTGAAGGATTAAACCAGTCCTGAAATCCAGTTATTTGGCTGTATACCCACCCACCAATCATCCATAACTTTCATTTTACAGTGCAGAGCAATAAGTTAAACTCTCCGTATCTCACCCTTGATGGGTTTCTGAACCAGACTTTACTTAGTTCTGTCTTTAAAATAATGGCTGTTGTGGAGCTATGTCTGCATAACTTGACACTGTGCAAACAGTAGCCAGATTTGTGCCAAGGCAGAAGGCACATTAAATAAGCAGTTCTGTGGATGCACTGTGCAACCAGTGTACAGTGAGCTGTGCCATCAGTTGTGCCACCAGGAATGCAATGGGGATAGCCTAAGCATAATTGCCTGCAAACGCCCACAGGGCTATGTGTACATGATGGCAAGTGCAAGAAGATTTCCGTCATTATTTTAAAGATATAACTCTGCTAAATATGGATTAGGAATCCAGCAAGGGTGGGATATGGGGAGTTTAACTCTTTGCTCCCCACTCCCTTGATGGGAAATGGAAGAAAACCCTCCTGCTCTCCTTATGGCCAGCCAAAGGAGGAGAGAAGAAGGAAGGGCTTATCAGCCAAAGTCTAGTGTTACAGCCACCTGTGGTCAGTTGTTATAAAGAAAATTAGAAATATGTTAAGTATGATTCTTTAATTTCTATACGCAAAGCTGAAGAAGGGATCCTGGATGAAGCCTTCTGGCTCTCCCTCCCCTGATAATATTTGCCCATATGTAGTAGAACCTTTCTGACCCTGATTTTTTAATGAGGTCAACTATTTGTCAGCGAGGGACAAATTATGGTTCTTTTGATGTTTTTACAACTCTTTGCATCCCTCACCATTGACTGTGGCTGGTTAAGACTAATGGGAATTGGAATCCAGCATCTTGGAGGCCATAGGTTGCATATACCTTTCGAATCTATAATCACGATTGCTTAGTACCATCTAGTTTTCACACAGAATGTATACATATTTATTAAACTTATTTAAATATATTTCTGTGTCTTCTGCCATGTACCACATATCCAGGCAACATACAACAGTAGCAACTACAGTGTAAATAGATACCATAACTATAACCAAAAGACTTTGTCAGTAGGCAATAAAGTTGAAATCATAGTGGAGACATAAAAATAATCAAATACTGAGGTGAATGAAAGTTTTCAGATCTGCCTGAACAGCAACAAAAATGGTGCATACTCTATTGGGTTATCCCAGAGAATAAGCAAGTGCCACTATTCTGTGAGTAAAATAAATTTAAAAGATTAAATGAATAAACTGGAAAGACCCCTCTTCCTAGTTTTCTCGAGGGTCATCCCAAGGAGAAGGTCTTCGATCCTCCTGTGGCCTGTCGCGATCAGGCTCAGGCAAGACGTGACAGGTTTTCTGTCTCTTTTTCCTGGGTGCCTCCGATGTTGAGCTGGAGGGGGATCCAGGAGCAGCTGGAGGATCCAATTCAACATCGGGTGATGAATGAGCAGGCGTGGGGGGAAAGCTCACCTGTGGTGACAACACCACCTCTGGACGTGGGGGGAAAACACCCTCAAGTCTTGATGGAGTAGCCACGGAATCATGTTGAGCCACGAACATCGAAGGCAACAGAGCAACAGAAGGCATTGTAGACTTAGAAGTCTTTTCCTTCTTTTTCAATATCAAGCCCAATGGGGACTTCGATATCGAGGATGAAATGGTCGACCTCAAGGCCAAGGAAGTGGACTTTGGGACCTTGTGGCCATCTGCGGGGGAGGGAGCCACAGCCGGCAAAGCTCCAGACAAAGGAGTACGTGGAGGCTCCATTTTAAGAGCTGGCTCAAGAGAATGCTGCCACAAATGGGAGCGGAATCTCTGAAGCCTCTGCTTCAAAGCTGGCTTGGTAAAGGCTTTGCAATACAAGCAAGAGGCAACTTGGTGTTCTTCTCCCAAACAGAAGAGACACAATGAGTGGCCGTCAGAGAAAGGCACCTTGCGGTTACAAGTGGTACAACACTTGAAAGGCCTTGACAAGGCCATGGACACTAAGCATGGTTTTATGCTTTCAAGTCCAACTCACAAAACAAGAGGAACATCAGGCAAGTCGAGGTCAGTATAGGAGGGAGATCCAAGCTGAGAAGAAAAGGTATTTAGAGAAAGAAACGCACAAGCTCCAGTTCACTATGCTGCTGAAGTGGCGGCAGGAAACGGAACTGAGGCACCTGGTGCTGGGGGCGGTGATGTAGCCTAGGAGGGAGGTCCCAGCACCGTGTGCTTAAAGCTCTCAAAGGTTCTGAACCTGCTCTGCTAAGGCGCAGATTAACCCATTAGTGTGCATTCACAGAGACCACGAAGGAGAAGTGAAATGAGACAATGCTGCAGCAGAACTGTAGTTGAACATTAGGCAGACCAAAACCATGACTACAGAAGAACTGTAATCTCAACTAGATAACATTAGTGTTGAAAATGAAGAAACTGAAATTGTTAAAGATTTTGTTTACCTTTGTTTAATCATCAATTCAAATGGAGACTGCAGCCAACAAATTAGAAGACAGAGGGTGTGACTACACTGGAATGATAAATGCAAGCAATTCAGCTTTGCTGCAATTTGAGTTGCAGTTCAAAGATTTGAGTTCAAAGTTACGTTTGAAATCTCAGTCATTGCTTACACAGGGGTTGCAGATTGATTTGGGAATTCACTGTTCATACTGGGTGTGATGTGATTCACATTCCAGCCCACAGCCCCTCTTCTTTCCTTCCTTCCTCTGGCGCCACCTCTTCCAATCTGATGGGGGAACTCATGGGACATAAATACAGGAAATAATTGAAATGATGACTCAGAGATAAGGTGACAAAGTGATCTAGCATTATTCTCATATATGTAAGAAATAAAAAGTAAATATATAATGGAAGATGATTGGGGGAGAGGATAGAATGTGGGGACATGTTTCTCCAGTCCTGAACATCAAACCCCAACTGCTTGGGTCACCAAAATAGCATCTACAGGCATGCCCCCTCCATTTTTACAAGAATGCATCACAACTAAATATATGGAAAAAAGCCTATTTGAATTTTTCTGGCTTGAAAATGTAAAAGCCCCTCAGCAGCAGAGGAAAAAAAGTCCACTTTGGGAGCAAAAAGGGTTGGACCAATTTGAATCGGCCTTTGTGTCATGTGGTCAGTAAAAAAAATACTTTGAATTCACTCTTTTTATAAGTAAAGCGAATCCCATGGTATTTAACTATGTAGTTGTAGCCTGAGACTTGGAAGGGTAGTGATGAAGGAATTAGAAGAGATCTTTAAGTGTAAGGATGTGTCACTGGAGACCAAATATAAGATCATCCAGACTCTTGTATTCCCAGTCACCATGTATGAGTGTGAAAGCTGGATAATAAAGAAAATTGATAGGGAAAAATTAATTTTTTAAAAAATACGGTGCTGGAGGAGAACTTTACAGATACCATGAACTGCCAGAAAGACAAAAATGTGGGCCTACATCAAATCAAATCAGAACTATCTCTGGAGCCAAAACTGAGGCTGTCCTACTTAGGACACATTATGAGAAGGCAAGCTTCCCTGGAGTAGATAATAATGCTGGAAAAATTTCAAGAGAGCAGGAAAAGAGGAAGACCAAAATACAAAATGGATTGACTCTCTAAAGGAAGCACAAGGCTCGAGTTTAAAAGAGCTGAGCAGGGTTGTTGAGGACATGACATGTTGGAGATCTTTTGTTCATAGAGTTGCCATAAGTTGGAGGCAACTTGACAGCAAGTAATCACAACATGATATGACAGAACAAGCAGATTGGTGATGATGTGGCCTAACAGGTTCACACTGGCCAAATAGATTGATAGGGAAGAAGACATTTCCTCAGGTATCTTTGTCCTAGTTGTTTAGGGTCTTATAGTGAACAGAAAAACTTTCGTATGAATTATGAATACAGCCTTGGGTATTTGTGTCTGTCTAGAAGAAAGATGGTGAAACTGTTAATTTCCAGGAGTTTTTAAGACTGGATCTCATGTAATCTCTCAGCATTGGTGATGCTGGCTAGGGTTCTTGGGATTTATAGACCAAAACATCTGGAGAACTAAAATTGTCTACTCTTAGTCTAGAGTTATTAATACATTATAGTAAGAAACATCTAAATTTGCCCCAAGGATTAATGAGTAGAAGCACTGGTCAGTTACTCTTCTGCATAGGCAATGCATAGTGGGCAGTCTGACTTTGTCCCTCTCTAAATCCATGACAGCAACCCTTGGCACAATCATTTAGTCTAATAGCTCCCTGTCTCTCTGTTTTAATTCCAAGTTTGGATGATTATAATCGCCTGGTGAAACTATGTAATGGAACTAATGAAGGGCTTCTGAGGAGGAACCCATTTAGCAAAGATGGTGATCGGCTGCCAACCCTGGATGATGTCCGGAACTGTCTGTCTCTTCAAGATTTTGATAAACCTCCTTTCTTTCGGAATTCTACTTTTAGCTTCAGGTGTGTTCTATATGCATTTATGATTAACAAATCTGTGTTCCTAGATATTGTTGGACTACAACTCCCAGAAGCCCTTGGCAGTCTAGCCAAGGGTCAGGACTATGGGAGTTGCAGCTCAATCACATCTTCGAGAACCCACACATGGGAATCACTATTATTAATCATTTTGCTCAAGAATGGCATTTCTTATAGGCCAGGAACTGCGGGATGATAATGCTTTCCTTTGCTTATTGTCTACCACAGGAATGCTTTGGAAGGGTTTGATAAACCTGATGGAACCTTGGACATGCCAGTAGTGAGTCTCCATAATTTGGTTCACTCTGTTTTGAATGGGACAGGGACTCTTCCCCATTCGGCAGTGAATGATCCTATCTTTGTGGTATGTCCTTATTTTTCTTTTCATTTCCTTAAAAGCAGGGTGGGCAGTTGTGGCTCTCCAGATGTTCTTGAACCACAACTCCCGTAGTCTCTCAGCATTGACTTTGTAGGATAGTACTGTTGGAAGTTTTAGGCCAAAAACACATGGGAGACCAAGTCTGCCCTCCTTTCCTTTCAAAAGCACCCTTCTTGACCTGTGGCCCTCTAATGCTTTGGAGTACAATTCAACCCTAATGATCCCCAGCCAGAATGACTGGTGGCTCCACATCACAAATGAACATTGTGATGTTTCATGTGTTTGATTTACCACTTTTAAAGCAATATAGATTGTAAGCTTGCAGGGGTGAGTGAGGGACTGATCTAAATTAGAAATGAAGTGGGGAGAAACAGTTAATCTCACCCCACCTACCCATGTGAGGATCCCAGTATGGACCAGATCCCCTGCACTTTCTCTATATGTACAAAAATAGAAATACTGTATACATGAGTGCTAACCTATACATGAAGCAACACAGTTTTCTTGGCTGTAACATGCTATAGATACTCAGACAGTTTTTCTCAATCTGGTGCCCTTCACCTGTGTTGGCTAACAATTGTGAAAGTTGTAATCTAAAGTGTATTCAGGACAGCAGGTTAGGAAAGGCTGCAGTTAAGAGTTTGTCACCAAATATAGGAACCTATATAGCACCTTTTCTTAGTTGGATTGGTGCTCCAGTTTTACTAGTGAGGAGAGAAACAATATTTTCTCTGGATTTTTCAGTGCTCTTCCATAAATGCTTTTCAGCCAATAAGAAGATCACATATATAGAGAGAGAGTGTTGTATAGTGCCAGAACCCATTGTTTGGAAAAGACTTGTTAAAAGTGGAGAAACAGCTGAGTTGGTTTACACACATTTTACTTGCTCATATTCCAGACTGCAGTAGAATTACAAAGATGCGTGAACCAAAGTTTCTTCCCAATGGAGCATTTCTACCATTCCTATTTGTTCCCCTTTGTTCCTGAAGAGCACTGTTTTTTTCCTGTATGTTATGGGATTTGCATTAATATGGGCTGTCAGCAAAATAGGGTAGAAAACTTGACTATCCAGTCCTAAGATATGAAGGGAGTCATCTGCTCTTTTCTGAACCTCTTCTCCAATCTGTTCCCCCCTTTTATTGAAGTAAGGAGGAGGCAGAGTGCAGAGACTTTCTTTTTGGGGGGGGGGCAGACAGAGCAGTAATAACATTCTTTCTTTGAAAAGCAACACATACACACACTGAACCATGGTTCCAACTCCTGGGGTGGCTCATGGAGCAAGAAGGGGAAGCCTCAACCCAACATTTTGAGGGAACACTCCATTTTCCATTCATGTGTTGTCTATGCTAACCGGCTTTCCTCAACCTGGTTGAGGCCAGTCAGAGGCTTTTTGTGAGAATGACCTCCTCTGGCCCTGGAACAGCAGATATTGAGTGAAAAACTGGGGTGCTAAGAACTTTAATGCTCTGAATGAAGCCCTTGCTAGCAGTAAAAGATGTAGGAGCCTCTCGGCTAGCCACCTCTTCTCTTTTCTTTCTCGTGGAGCTCCCAACCAACTTGGCATCTCTACTGAGCCATTGCCTCCACTTCCAGCACTTTCTAGGTTTCTCTAATTTTTTTAAAAAAATTGGGAATCACTGCAGCACAACATCAAAATCACCCTTCCTAATCACCTTCTGGTAAAGGATATAAGTGGTATTGTTGTTTCTGATAGGAAAAGGGGAAAATAAGAGCAAGTTTGAGACTGGGGAATAAAAAAGAGTGGTTAGAAAGAGACAAACAAGTCTGAAAAAATCACCCCCAAATCCCTGTTAGTTTCTCTTTACACTAGTAACATTGTGAGATGGAGTGAAAAAAAACTGGGGAATTTTGGGAAGTAACAGGTTTCATTTTGCAGAGCACATTTGGACAAATAAAATTAACCGTTGTAGCTCATGGTTTTCTTTGCCAAGGAGACATGTCCTCCCCCATCTTTTATTATAGGGCCTAGAATGGCATGCAACACAGTAATGGTTGCCTCCTCAGAAGCCAGTTTCACCGTGTCTCAAGGGCTGTATGCCATCTTACATGTGTTTAGGAATATACAGAAGTTTGAGACGTTAGTTATTGAGCTTAGGACCCAATGGATTGATGCCTGTGGGGGAGGTCTATGTCCCACTTCTGGTAAGGTGCATGAGAGGAGGTGTTATGCAGTAGTGTGTGTGTGTGTGTGGGACACATACCCTGGCACTGCCAGCTTAAATAAGTATCTCAAAACTGGTTTTGGAGATCCATGACAAGCAAGAGAGTTAGTTTGTCTTTGTGTTCAACAGCCTTTATTTCAAAGGGCCCAAGATACCAACTGGTTATTTAGTCACTGAAAAGTTAAAGTTACACATTTTGTAGGGGTAGGGAACTTGGTGCCTTCCAGCTGTTCTGGATCAACTCCCAGAAGTTGGTCCAAAACAGCTGGCTATGCTGGCTGGGACTGATGGGAGATGAAGTTCAGCACATCTATAGAGCAGGAGTAGTGAGACTGAGAATTCAATGGTCATAAAGCAATTTGGGGTGTTTGTAAAACCGTTTTTTTTAAAAAAGGAAATGAATTATGATAAAAAGGAAAGTTGGCTCAGGTTATTTAGGTACTAAATTGAGATGAATATGTTTTTAATTTTAAATTGAGAAGAATATGTTTTTAATTTTATAAATAGAAAGCAAATTGTGGCTCATCATTATTTTTATTGTGATAAAATGCTTACACATCTGTTCTATGCATTATGGTTTCCATGCATGGGTTAGATAGAAGCAGCCATGAAGGAAATAATATTTTACAAATCTGCTTTGTTGAGGGACACTGTCATTTTATTCACAAAATCTTTCCTCAGTGCTCTGGGGGGTATAAATGAGTATGATATTGGCTCCCTCTGGTGGGTAAATTAAAGCTTGTTCCCTCCAGATATAATGCTATTAATAATGAAAATAGGACAGTTTGCAGAAAAAAGTAGAATTCTCTTTTATCACAGTAGAATTTGGTAGCCACGCTTAAGGAAAGGGAGCTGCAGGCTAATTCCTTCACAGCAGGTTCTAAGAGCCTATTTGATACACAAAGAAAAAAGAAAACCCTCATGCTATGGGGGCCAGATGTATGAAATTATACTAATTTAAAATGGAAAGAAATATTCAATGTGCGACACAGAATTAGCTTCTGAAGACACTTGGCATAATTGCAACTGTAGATTCAATGACCAAAAACCCCGTACTGATTTAGGATCAGAGTTATAGCTATCACATATCTAGAAACCTGGGGAATTGGATGCTAAAGCAGATGTGCCATATACGTCATCCTGAACTATCCAATTCATTCAACAGTGGCAAGCATCAGAGAGGCTGTAATTCAGATCTATTTTTTTTTAGTGAGCCTATAGCTCAACAGTGCATTAAGGCGATCCAATCTCAAACACTCAGCACAGACACATTCTATGTCAGATCTACTTAGCCATCTCACTACAATCTATACCATTCTGCAGGAGAAAGATAAATATTCCAAGATGGTGCCTGACCAACTCATTCTGGAAACATATAGGTAAAGATAAAGGTTCCCCTTAACATTTAGTCCAGTTGTGTCCAACTCTAGGGGACGGTGCTCATCATCCCCATTTCCAAGCCATAGAGCCAGCGTTTGTCTATAGATAGTTTCCATGATCATGTGGTCAGTGTGATTAGACATGGAACATTGTTACCTTCACACCATGGAAACACATACCCAATACTGATTTTTTTCTTTTTTTCTCTCATTTCTTTCTCTTTTTTCTATTTTATCTTATATTGCACATTTGTTTATAGCTAATAGATATGTTAAAATTAAATAAAAATGATAAAAAAGAAAGAAAGAAAAAGAAACACATACCCAATACTTAAATTAGATTTCACACTTGGAAGAAAATCCTTTTAACAAACATATGATAAAAGCTGAAAGAAATTTGATCTTGACTTTTGCAGAAATGAAAAGAACTCACATGATAGACACTGTGACAGAGCTTGATGTGACAACAACCAGCCAGAAACAAAAGGACACTGTATGCAAATATAACCCCCAACCAAATAGTACACTGACAACTCCTGACAGGCAAAACCTTTGCAGCGTGGTATAGCTAGTACCAAATGTTTATGCTGTGTCCTGTCATCCACCTCACCTATCCTCTGCATTGCAATTCCAGGTTCTCCATTCCTTTACTGATGCTATTTTTGATGAGTGGATGAAACGATTTCGCCCATCTGACAGTGCATGGCCTCAGGAGCTAGCACCCATTGGTCATAATCGGCTGTTCAACATGGTGCCTTTCTTCCCTCCCATCACCAATGAGGAACTGTTTTTAACTGCAGAACAACTTGGTTACAGCTATGCCATTGACCTGCCAGGTAGCACAGTTTTTCTGAATTGCAGTGCAGAGTTTACAACAACAATACACTGTCACCCCATATGCTAGGATGTTGTTCTTGTTGTTTGGTTGGTCTGTTTTCTAAACAAGCACTGCAGACATTTGAAGCTTTAAATGGAACAACTACAGCAACACAGCCCAAAATTGGTTGTTCCTCAAACCAACCAACCAACCCTATATGTCCATGGGTTCCATATGTGACAAGAGCAGGAGTCTCTGCAGAGAACAAAGTCCCAAGAAGTCTCTCTGATTCAAATGTGTCAGGGAAAACAAATCTCGAGAAGACTCCGTCTTTCCAAGACTTGCCCAAGTATTGAAGAAAGTAGTTCCTGGAACAAAAATCTTCAAGGCCCCAAAAGAAAATTCGAGGACAGGTACAAATACAGACCATCCCAAAAAGCATTTGCCTTCCTGCTGTCACACCTACATACGGTACATGCATTGAAGTAGTGTAACAAAAATCACAGTGGTAATGGCCTAATTCTTGCACTCAGCGAGAAATACAGTGGACCCTCGACTTACAGACGGCTTGACTTACAGACTTTTCGAGTTACAGACTTCTCTGGCTGCAAAATTTAGGTGCAACTTGCAGCTGGAGAATCAACCTAAAGACCAGAAAAAAAACCAAAATGGAATAAAAATGGAACAAAAACAGCCGGTTACGGGATTAATCAGTTTTCAAAGCATTATAGGTCAATGGAGACTCGACCTACAGATTTTTCGACCTGCAGCCACCATTCCAACACGGATTAATTCCGTAAGTAGAGGGTCCACTGTAAAAGCTCCTTCCCTCTCCAACTTGCTCTCTCTTTGAAGTAAAATTTTTCAAGCACAGCCCCTTCCTAAGGATTCCCCTGGCCACCAGCCTGAATGAAACAGAGGTGGCACCAATTGTTGCTGTGATGCTATGACAGCTTCTTCCAGATAGAAAAAAACCATGAATGATATCACCTCCATCTAGCACAGTGGTTCCCAACCTTGGCTAACCCAGATGTTCTTGGACTGCAGTTCCAAGAAACCCTGGCCAGCACAGCACAGGCTGGGAACCACTGATCTAGCAAGCTATTTTGGGGAGATAAGAATTATAGCCCCACCACACTGGGAGAGCCGCAGGTTGGCAAAGATTTTCTTATGGCACTGACAACCTTTTACAAGCAAGGAAGTTAGGAGGCAAAGTTATCAGCAATGTATTTTCTTCAATTTTCACTCAAGCACAGGGGACTTGATCCACATTGGGGGGCTTTAGCTCTTTCATCCTTCATGCTGTTTTTCATCTGGCTGCAATCTGGTAGTTCACACTGGTGTGACTGACTTTGTTTTTCTGCCATTTCAGAATCCTCTGAGGAGGCTCGTGCTTGGGCGCTTATGGTTGGATCCACCATCGGAGGTGCTCTGATAGCTTTAGTTGTGCTGGTCCTTCTGCTCCTTCTTTTCCAGCATAGGAGGCACAGGAAGGGATTCGAACCTCTCATGAACGCAAGGTTCAGTGTCAAGAAATACACTGAAGACCCCTAAAAAAGGTGGCTGAGTTCTGAAATGACTATATCCAGGAGCATATCCGGAGTAGTCAATTGGTCTGCATTTATCATTTGGTTGAGTTAGCAATACTATAGAAAGCAATATCTGGGCAGCTTAAATTTATATAACTATCTGAAATAAGTATCCATATCTTTTAGATTTGGAGCCATGATATACATCTTCACCCTTGAGAAGGATAACTGGCGATCCTAAGGGCAGACCTGAACTTCCAGTTTCTGAATGGCTGATTGATTCTCTCCCAGTGTAAAATGGTGTGCTCCTAAGTGGAAGAGAGTAATCCTCTGTTTGGCAGACATTTCTGAATCTTTGTGAGACTTAGCTGCCCACTCTTTCACTAGGGTTGCCTTAAAAGATTAGCTTTGCACAGGTTCTCTCAGATATCACAGGTGGAAACCAAGAGGGTTACTATAAATGCATAAATACACTGTGAGCTCTGATATATGTTTTCAGAATGTGCCTTGTCATAAATGCACTTAATGCTTTAGATTAGTGGCAGGCAAGTTGGGAGGGCCTGGGAGCAGGTTTCCCACACATTCCAGGTCCACCATGTAGGCCACCCACTATGGGCTGCCCTGCCCTGCTGAAAGTGGAAGTAGCTAGAAGCTTCTGTCCAGACTCAAAACCCTCCATATTTTTTTTGCTTTTCAAAATCAAGCTTTGGTTTAAATTATATCCCCCACCCACATTTTTAAGGAGGAGCTCCAGAAGGCTCACTCATCCTGAACAACAACAAAATGGCTGACAGGTAGATGCTGCACATGGCCTACTGCCTGGATGTTTCCTACCCCTGTTGTAATTAATAACTGTAATAACTCTATCAAATCAATTCTGACTTGTGGAGACCCTTTCCAGAGTTTTCTAGGTAGATAAGAGACAGAAGTGATTTACCCTTCCTTTTTTCTATCCCTGCTTTAAGACCCACATAATCTCGATTTGAAAATCAGAAAGAGAGAAAAAAAATATCTGGATGCCTGTTTACTTCTCCAGGTCTTTCAACATTTATTTAGCATTGTGTGCTAATTGTCGTATAGAACATGCCCACAATGTTTACAAAACACTTTCCTGAGTAAAACTGTGATCAGTACTGTTCATTTTCTACATATTTAGCCAAGGCTGATTGTTGATCATGTTGCATTTCACAAGCTGCATTTTGTGCTGCATTCTGATTACATGGATGCGGATCCATAAATCCTTATGCGCAACTGTGGATTTTTATGTGTGACTGCACACATTCACCAAACAGGTTGTTACTCCTGTTATCTTTGACAACATCAGTTACCAGAGGAGATGTTAGATTCAGTGGGTTTGTCCAGTTCCATTCCTCTACAAAAGAGATAATCTTTTATCTTTCATTACATTTGTATCCCAGCATTCTCCATCCATTTTCTCCTCGTAGCAGCTCTGTGCAAATAGATTTGGCTGTGAGATATTGGCTGAAATCTGGTTATCAGTTACACAAGTGGTGTAACTTTTAGAGAAAATTGCTATAAGTTAATAAATCCCTATTGGCAGCCAATTAATGATAAGTCTTGCAATTCTGTGTACAATAGATAATATCTATGGAAAAAACATTCTATCTTGTCACAATTTGCTTCCAAAATTTACACAGTTTGCACAACTACCCAACAAGATTTCAGCCATTGAATAGCTCAGAGTCACTGAGTGAGCTTCTCTGGGTCTGCTCTGCATTCTAATCACACTGTCTGTCAAAGCTAACACTCCCAACTTGTGTTCTGGAGATACATGGTCTTATTCAGCATGGACACAGCTTCAGGTGCTAGATTTTATATTGTTCAGTCATTTTTGTTTTTGGTTAAGTGAGACTCAGTTTCAGAGTTCATTATTTCTTATTGGCTCATAAATTGCTCCTTAAAGTCTCATAGCTCACTCTGGGACATTTGGTAAGAGAAAGAATAAAATGTTCCATTTACTCACAGTTCTGAACAAATAAAAATAGCATATTGTAGAAAAATGACTGGTTACAGGAACAGACCTTAACTAGCTATATGACTGCGTAGTCAACATAACTAACAACATTACTCTAGACAAAAAAACATAACTATAATTGAAGACTGATTGAAAAAAGGAGGCAAAATACTCTTAAGTAGAGAGGCATGGCTCTCTTCAAAATCAGAGGCAGAAAGGGAGCAAATGGTTACTGCTGGCTTGACTGACAGTCACCCCAATCCAGAAAAATCCTTCCCAGACAAACCTCTTAAGGGCAAAATATGAGGCTGAAAATAATTCCAACAGTTTTTGGTTATATGAGACTCAGTTTCAGAGTTCATTATATTTCTGCATGTCTCTTTCCATATACAGCTATTGATTACTAGATATTATGTTTCTTATCCAAAACTAATTGACTGCATAATTTCATTTACAGTACGTATTTTAAAGTCTAATGCAATTACTGGATTAAATCTTTAACTAACACACATTGAGCAGCTATCCATTATGGGACATTGTTTCCCAGCTCAAGAATCTCACCAGTCTGCTTCACCACTGAAATGTAGTTATGTCATTTAAAAAATACTTCTGCTTCTAGTTAAAGCTCTAAAAGGTGAATATGTTACCTTGATAATGTGAATGTAAATGATGATTAATCTACAGTATGTCTCCCAGCACCTTTCTTCACATAATTCCGATGCATTGGGTTGCAAGCAACATAGTAACTTGTAATAATGTTACATTTCAAAAGTAATGTAACAAGGGAAATGATGTTATCTTTGGCTTAATGGGTAATGTTTTCTAGTTATTTTTCAATGTTACTTTTAAAGGGCCATGTTAGGTATTTTATCAGGCATTTTGGCAGCCATTTCAAGTTTTACACCATTATCCTATCAATTCTAACATTTTTGGAGCTGCTCTGAAGTAATGAAAAGGTAAAAAAAACCAAACATAATAAACAACAAATCTTTAAAAACGTGTCAACACGTTAAGAATAATGACTTTTAAAACACAATTGCAAGTAACAGGAATTAAGAACTTTAACGAAAAACCTTTGCAGGCTCTGTTTCGTCCTCTCCTGTAATAAAATTGATCATCCCAAAGGAAGCACAGATGGGGAGGGAAACTTCACTTTTAACAAGAAGGGAATTGCTTTAGGAAAGCAGGGGATGCCCTCCGGTGGCTTGCTTGAAAACAACATGGAGTTATACTAGGGAAGCCTTCCTCTGGTTTCTATATATCTATTTGTTTATCTATTTACCTGCAATCAAAACTGAGAGCCAAGTGGCATGTTACACTTTTAAAAAATACATGCTTTTCCACATTCCTCTCCTTTCAAGAAAATGTGATACCCTTCAGTCTGGAATGGGACCCTGTGATGGTTTCTTGCTGAAAATTGCTCTCTCCCTGAGGTTTTCTTGCCCCATTTTTAGGCTGAGAGTTTTCAGGTGCAAATCAAAATGCAGATTCCATCTGGAGCAGGAGCACATTCTAGATCAGAGAGCTATAGAACTGTTTTTCCTGAGGAATAAAAATGGCCACCCTAAGTGCATTTTTAAAAAAAGCTGAATTAAAAATACTTCCTTCCAAGTAAGGGTGCCAATCAAGGTGTTGCCACAGCTATGAAATAAAATAAATGAAAAAGAAGTGGAAAAAAATGAAGACACAGCAACTCTCTTGCAGTGGCACACTTTGGACTCATGCACTGGCGACAAAATTGTTCCAGCCCCTGGAGCGGAAGAACTTGCCCAGCACAGAATCAAGCCAGTGGTCCTGGCTAGCCCCATATTGCTTGCACTGACTGGCAGCAATGAGTCTTTGGTGATTTGGGGCACTGGTTACTCAGGAGTTTTGGACTGCAACTCCCAGAAGCCTTCAGCACCAACTGTGCTGGCTGGGGTTTCTGGGAGATGCAGTTCAAAAACATCCGAGTAACAAAGGTTAAGAACCACTGATTTGGGGGACTGAACCTGGGACCTTCTACAACAAAGTGCAAAGTGTGTGCTGTGCTACGAAGCTGTGGGACATCCCTTAAGACAGCCTGCAGGAGGGAAGAATGGCACACCACCCTGCGGGTCATTCCCACAAAGAGCTTTTCTTAGTACTGTACAGTGGTAAGACACATCCACCCGCTGCCTCTCTTGGCTTATGAGTGTCAGGTCATGAATCCTTTTGCTCCCTTTTTGCACAGCCATTGATCTGTCCAGCAGCCAGAGCCAAATATCTCTGGCTGGCTGAGTGTGAGCAGCCACTTTTTAGAAATGAGCATATCAGCTGGTATTCAAATAGCTAACTATTGGATTGTGGAATAATGCCTTGCAAATAAAACAACATTCCTAGAAAGGTTAAGCAGGGCTGCAACGAGGGTAGAAAAGCTACAATTTGACCCCAGAGCACCAGAATTTAGACATTAAAATCTAGAGGTGCATCTGATGGCGAGCATTAGGAAAATAAATGGCAACACCTCCCACCGTATTCATTTCCCTTCTTTTTGAAAACATACATTTTCTGCTTGGGGAGCACCACATTCTCCTCCTCCTTTTTCACGAGGGGCTCAAACCCGTTCCTAACAGACAGAGTGGGTAGGAGACACTGTTGTCCATCCTAGGTGCCAAGATGAGCAGTTTACAGCTCTGGGGTCAAGCATGACCCCAGAATTGAGGCCAATGTTTTGGCTTGCACAATTAAAGTGACAGAACTTTTTGTTACAGTGGATGTCACCTATGAAATGCATGGATTTCTTCTTTCTAAGCTTAGGTCTGAAAAGTGGCTTTCTCTGGTGATTCTAGCAATAAAGTGCAAGTGCCATTGTGAGGAAACAGTGACAGAAAACATGGCCTACCTACTATGCCAATCCTGTCTCGATTAGAGGCAGAGCTTAGAAAAGTCACTTTCTTCAGACTACAACTTCCAGAGTTATCTCAGCAAATACAGCCAGTGGGGAGTTCTGGGACATGTAGTCTAAAAATATCTGATGACGACTACTGGTGTTGGAAATAGTTAAAGATGTAGTATCGGAACCAATAATTCCCACTCCTTATGGAGCCCCCAGTTGGCTGGATTGCACACGGCTGCTATTTGTTTGTTGCACTGGTATTTTTGCTGAACAGAAGTCTCAGTCTCAGCTTTGTGCAGTGATTTTCTGTGCCTATATGCCTTGCCCATTCAAACATACAGGAACCAAATACAGTATGTCATACTCTAGTAACTACCACGAAACAGCCCCCCTCAAGTAAAAGGAGCAGCATCATTGTCAGGATGTTGAATTGTAAGCTCTTGGTAGGGGACGTTCTGCATGTGGTGTTTGGCCTTCGAAACAAGTCCTGTGCGTGCAGATGTGGTGACCTACTCTGTATCCTTGTTTTGTTCTGTTTTAATTTAATATATTCAATGATTTGAAATGCTTGGTTTAACCGCCTTGTACTCCCCACCAAGAGATTGTGCTGCAGGCTGATTAACAAATTAGATTATGAATTCTAAGAGAGTTTATTGTTAATTTAATTGAAACCTATAGTGACTTAATTAGCATCTTTCAGTTTCTCTCTCACCACTTAGGGTTATCTGAGGTACTGTGCAGCTCTCAAAACAACGTGCTTGAAAGTAAACCCCATTCATTTCAATGGCAGTTGCCTCCATCTTAGATTCTAGCTTCTCTTATGCTAGCATGTGGAGGAATGCAGGATGCCAATAAGAATCATTTAAGGAAGACATTTTCCCTCCCCTCTTTTTGACACCACTCTGAGGGCTTAATGTGTGTGGAAAGTCAGTTGTCAGTAATTATCATCATCACACTGATGATATGGAGAAAATTGCTAGGTGAGAATTTCATTCCAAAAATAATGAAAATTTACCACAATTCACTGTTATTATCACACCCAAGATAAAAAGAACTTGAGAGTTAAAAAGTGTGGATGTGGGAGATACCTACTGGCAGCTTCCTACATCTAGGCTCAGTATGGACAGAGCCTGACTCTTAAAAGGCCATGTCTGAATATTTCTGTGTTGAACCAGGTTAGTGTTAACTTACACCAGCCATCTCATTTTTCATAAGTGGCTCTTCATCTTTGACATCTGTATGATATGATGTGTCTCCCTCCATGCTGGAAATAGCTGTACCCACTGGATTTGGCCACATCATATATGTTCCACATTTTTGAGGGCCGAAGGAACCTAAAAAATGCAGGCAGATGGACAGGCGGAAGAGCAGGTACGCCCACATGCCCACATGCTCTTCCGCCTGTCCATCTGCCTGCCCGCATTCCTGCCCACCCGCACGCAGAGGCACACGCGCAGGCTGAAGGGAATGGACCTGCGCTTGTCTGAGCCTGCAATGCTTGCTGGGCCAAATAAAAAGGCAAGGTGAGCTGGATGTGGCCCACAGGCTGGATGTGGTCCACGGGTTGCAGCTTGGAGACCTCTGCTCTATGCAATTGACTCAACATATCCAATCAACCCAGATGGAAGTCCCATTGTACTCAATGTGGCTGATTTTAACCTGTGACCATGGCTATACATTCCACCCCTGCACAACACCATTTCTCAACCCTTTGGGAAATCAGAGCAAAATTCCCATCCTGGCCAAGAGGCTTAACCTCTCAGTCAAGCTAGGAAAGAAATGTTAGTGTGGTAATTGGACTATCAGTCTGATTTTGCTTTAGTCCCCATTGGGACTAAAGCGGCTTGGCTTTTACACAAGGGGTTCTCTGGGCAAAGAGAGATCACAGCAGGCAAGGTGACTTCTTTTGATCTCCCTCATCTTACAGCAGTGTGACTTGTGAAATAAAATGTATACTAAG